CTGGAGAAGGATGTCATGCTGGGTAAGATGGAGAATCAGAGAAAAAGAGGAAGACCCCCAAGGAGATGGATCAGCCAGGTCGCATCATTGATGGCGTCAGGTGTGGCGGTGGTAGTGAGGTTGGCTCAGGATCGGACATTGTTTCGTTCTGCTGTGCATGGGGTCGCTATGAGTCGGTTCCGACTCGATGACACCTGACAACAACAACAACATTCTTTAAAGCTGCTCACTTGTGATATTTCTGTTACAGCAGCACTAGGTCCCTAAAATACTCCTAAACTTGTTCAGGATCACAGATGGTTGTCAAGTGCCTGAGTTCCTTTACCTTGTTTTGGAAACTTCTTTGCACCAATCAGACTCCTATGGTACCCTTTATGGGATAGAAAAAGAGATTACAGTTAAAAAAAACAACAACAGATTATGGGTTATTTATTATAGGTTGCTTGTGGTATTGGCAGTGTGATTTGTTAGGAGCATTTCAAGTTCTCAGTTCTAGAAGTCTGTTTTTGAAGACAAGAGAGCAGCAATGGAGATTTCTGCTTTGTGGTAGATTTTCTGCAAAGATGGCTGCCAGTGATTCTTTCCATTCTTGTATACTTATGCCATGAGGAGCGCTGGTAACGTAGTAGTTGTGAGTCTGGCTGCTAACCTGAAGATCAACAGTTTGAAACTACCAGCTGTTCCATGGTAGAAAGTTGAGGCTTTCTACTTTTCTAAAGATTTAGAAAAGCCTCAGAAACCCTATGCAGGGTCTCTCTGAGTCAGAACCAACTCCATGGCACACCACCACCACACTCATGCCATTCCTATCAAGAAATAAATTCAGTTTACCCATCTCTTGATTTTGGGCTAGATTTGTGACTTGCTTTAGACAACAGAATGTGGCAGAAGTAATAAATTGGCAGTTCTGGGCCTAGGATTCAAGATTAAGTAACAAAGAGATTGAGAAGTCCTGGTGTGTCAGTTTGAACCACAAGGTCAGTGATTCAAACCCACCAGTGGTTCCTTAGAAACCCTATATGGGGTCACTCTAGGTTGGAACCCATTTGATGGCACTTAACAACAACAACCAAACAAAGAGATTAAGATGCCTGGTGGCTTCCATTCTCTCCCTCTGGGAAACCAAGCTGTCATATTAGAAGGAAGTTGAAGCTGTCCTGTTCGAGTGGTCACATAAAGAAGTCATCTTGGATGTTCCAGCCTCAGTCATAGTTACAGCTGATATCCTCAGACAATATCACATTCAGCAGGATTACCCGTTGAGCATAGTCAACTCAAAGAATTGTGAGATGTAATAAATAATTGTTTTAAGTCATTAATTTTTGGGAGTGGCTTGTTATGCAGCAATAGACAACTTTATTATTATTATTATTATTGACAAGTATTCCAGCACCTCCATTCTGTTGCCCCTACAATAAATGTATCTAGTGTCATCCTTGCCAACCTGTCCCTTCTCTTCATGGATTTTGGATGTTGCCTGCTGCCTTATGTTGCATACTTTCATATAAAAATCTTCACTGCTGCATCTGGTTGACAGGACAAAGATGACATCAACGCTTTAGTTGCAAAGAAGATTGAGAAAGAGTGTTTCTGACATAGGGTTGGGGTAGGGATTGCAGGATTCACCATGATAGAAGGATGCTCATAAAAGATACTGAGAAACGACAGAGGTTCTCAACAATGGCCAGTGCTTTTTGGGCTTTATTATATGCCTGGCACATAGCTCTAAGTTCATTCATCTTCTAATGGTAAACAGTGGCCTGATTCCCTTCTGGAAATTGCACTCCAGGTGATCCAAGTCCAACCAATCAGAACATCATAACCTCAGTAATTGGTTTGGGGATGAAATGTGATCTGAAAGAAATAAGGACTTGGGCTCTGATGATGGAACCTAGAGCTGTTGGCAGCCATCTTGCCACTGCAAAGAAAAGACCAGAGATGAGGATAGGAAGACCCAGCCTTGATATTTTTTTGAGCCTCTTGATAATTAAATCAGTCATACCACTGGAGTTTTCTGTTATCTGAGCATATACATTTCCTATTTGCTTACATCAATCCAATTTGAGTAGTTGTTGTTAAGTGCCGTTGAGTTGACTCCAACCCATAGCGACCATGTATATATAGGGTTTCCAAGGAGTAGCTGGTGAGCTTGAGCCACCGACAGTTCAAACCAACTTTGATGTCCAATGCATTAACCCACAGCTCCACACTAGGACTCCAGGAACTCTTTAGGGTAGGTACATTTATTAAGCCCATTTTACAGACGAGGAAACCAAAGCACTGAAGTACAAAGACATTAATTAACACCCTTAAGGCCACATGGAGGCAGAATTCAAACCCAGGAAATCTGTTCCTGAAAGCCCTTCAATATACCTGCTTCTCTCCTTGGTGGCAAGGAAAGATTCATAGAGGAGATATTTAACCCCAAGGGGGCAAGAACAGGCATTAGAGAGAGGAAGCTTCTAGGAGAGAAGAACCTAGGCAAGACAGGACCTTTTCCTCTCAGAAGAAACCTCATCTGAAATGCATCATGTCCCTGCCCTGTAGTCTGTACCCAAATGCTTCCTTCTGCAAGGGAGCAACAAACCAATTTCTGCAGAGACACTGCTGACCTCTGAACCCACGCCAACTATACTCTGAATTGGGGGCCTGTTCTGAGGTAGTCCCTGTGGGTGTAGGTTAGGTCAGTACCCTCTCCAGCCTGAGAGACAGTTCAGGGCAGAATCTGTAGGTCTATAGTTCTCTATGAGCACCAGGAAAGCCCGAAATGCTCTTAGGGTTATAGAGGCAGAAACTGTCGGAGACCAGACATCCTCAGTTCCCTTTCTTCATTAAACTGTTGTTATTGTTAAGTGCCATTGAGTCGGTTCTGACTCAATGGTATAGGGTTCCCCAGGAGCGGCTGGTGAACTTGAACCGCCGGCCTTGCGGTTCAAACTGACTTTGCAGTCCAGCACATTAACGAGCAGCGCCACACCAGAATTTCATTAAACTAGAATCAATGAAAATCTGTACAAGGGAGCAGTGACTGGGAAAGTCCAAATAAAAAAAATGAATAAATAATTTCCAAATAATTCTGATTAAAATAAAAAGTAACACTTGCAATTGCTTTGGTTTTCATTTAATTGTGGACTGACATGACAGCACTTAATTATTTTCCCCAGAAGTGGGCTGAGAAGGCACTTCCTGGGTGCCTCTTCAGTAGCCCCCTCCGGCTGTTTAGGGCTGGAGAATAATAGGCGGAAGTCTCCCAAGTTGGGGGTAGCGGTGGTGGGGGTGCGGGAAGGGTGTTGGGAAGAAAGTAAGTTTGAAGGAGACCTCTAGGGATGGACCCCTGGCTCCAAAATGAGATGAGATACCAGGGAGGGCTTTCAGAAGTGAAGACGGCTTAGAGAGGAGACGGGGGTGGGGGGTATCCCCTTTTCTTTGGAAGTACAGTTCCGAACCGCTTGGGTTAACTGTTCTGGTTCTGACAGTCGCCTTTAGGTTACTCCCACCATAGAACTGGACTACTACTTTTCTTTTGGGAAATGGGTAGGGAAGTGTGGCACCGCGAGAGGGCCAAGTTTAAGAAGGGGGAGTAGGACTCGCTCAGGTGCGGAGTGCTTGTCCGGTAGTTCGCTGCAAGAACCTAGCAGTCCCGGATTTCAAAGGCCTCCAGCTGTCCCGCCTACGGAGGGGCGGACCGGGGGGAGGAGCTCGGAGCGGCCTCAGCCAGAGGCGGAGCGGGGGCGGGGCCCGAGCGGAGCGGGCGGGGTGGGCTGTGGACGCGAGGCGGAGCGGGGCCCCACACAGGCCGCGGCGGCTGGCTTGGGCCCCTACGGTCCCGGCGGCGGCTGGAGGAGGAAGCCAGGCGGCTGGAGGAGGAGGGGAGGCGGAGGAGGCCGAGGCTGGAGCGCCGCTCGCCGCAGAATCACTTCCCGGGCTCAGCAGGGAAAGGTACGGCGCACCCCTCTACGGTTCGCGGCCCACCAGCCTTCGCTCGGGCGTTGGCAAGGACTGCGGCTGCCGGCAGGAGTGGTGAGGGGCCGGGAGCTGCTCCTGTAGCTCCGGAGGGCTCGGCCGGTCCCGGGCTCCAGCCGTCAGCACGGCGCCGGGGCTGGAGGCTAGGATGTGCGGTGTTCACGGAGCCTTGTTGAGAGCGGTGGCGCCGCGCCCCCCTCGCTCCTTTGCTGGGAGGCAGTGGACTGACCCGGGGTTGCGGGGATCCTCGGCGGGCCAGGGCGAGCGCGCCTGGGACGTAAGGCAGACTGGTCCCCGAGGGCTGCGTGCCCGAGGGAAGCGCCCGGGGTGTCCGGCGGGCGCGCTCCGTGGGCACAGACAAAGCCGGGCGCGGGCGCCAGCAATGACTAGAACAGCCCGAGGGTGGGTGCTGGGGAAAGAAGAGGAGACTCTGGAGAGACAACCCGGACCTGGGGAGAGACTGCGTCGCCCTCTTACGGGGCATCCGAGTGGTCTAGTTGGAGGCCCCCAGCAGGGTGAGAAGGAGCTGTTTCGAAAGGGCCAACTAGGGGTACACGGGCTGTCCCCGGGCTTGGCGGGAGGCAGACTCGGAAAAAGGCAGGCTGTATTTGAGCGCTCACTTTGGAGGAGAGGTTGAGGGGAGCCACTGTCCCGGAGTGGGGGATGGGTCTTGCTTAGATCCGGCGAGGGGCCTGCGGACCCCGGTGGTGCTTGCAACAGAAGGGGACTAGCTCGGTGAGCAGCGTGTACGGTGAGATGAGTCTACAGGCTGTTTGCCGACGTGCCATTTGGTGTTCCATCCCATGCCAGTCCGTGGGGGCCACCTAGGCAGTGGTTGGAGTAAGCAGAGGCAGCAGGTGCCCGTGTGTGTGGGGGTCACACGAATAGAGAGGGCAAATAAGAGTGCATCTGAAAAGTGCATAGTGAAGGCCCTAACCTCTGCCACCTCTGTTCCCTTCTTTCTGGTTAGGGAGCAAAAAGCACCCAATTCCTGCCCCATTGACCGTTCCTGCCCTTGGGCTTCATGGTGGGACTCACTGTGCCCCCATTCCTCAGTTACCTCCCTTCTCTCTAGTGTTATCATTGACTTCTTTTCCCCTGCGTGATTCCGAGAACATCTTCTGCCACTCTTACCCCCATTTCATTTTCCTATTTTTGACCAGCCCCTTTCAGCTGTGCCTGCTCCAGATCCCTGGGACTCTTCAGCCCACTTGACCTGGCTTTGGTCCCACACTTCCTGAAACTAGGTCTTCCTTCACTTGGTGATCAGTTCTCCTAGAACCAACATCCTCCTTAGGCTTCTCCTGGTTTCCTTCCTCTCTCCATAGCTGACTCTCCTAAGACGTCTTTGCTTCACTCAACTAAATGTCCCTGGGCTCTGTCCTCAGCTGCTCCACCCCTACTTCCCTTCCTCTCTTCTTTTCTCCCCTTTCTCTTTACTTAGATTTACCATGTCCAACTTTCATTCATTTTTGTGATTTTTAAAATCAAGGGTTAATCTACAAACATCTTAAGTGTATATAATTTTCATCCTCATGATTTTAAATAGCAAATTTTATCTCCAGCCCCAGCCTCTCAATCCAGTCATTCATCTGATGATTTGTTGTGTCCCTGGATGTTTCAAAGATATGAAACATGTAATATGGATGATATAGAAACCTTTGATAACATTGCACCTCCAAACAGGCTTTCTCATCTACATTTAGTAAATGACCCATAAACCTTTAAACTTTTACAGATGTCAGGCAACATCAATTCCTTCCTCAACTTCTTTCTTCACATTCAGTCCAAACAGCCAGTCCTTTTGCTTCTTTCTGCAAAGTCAGTCTCAGACCTGTTTACTTATGCCTTTGACTTTAGGGCTAACCCCCTAGGATGAGCCACTTTTTTTGTTTTGTCTGAACTGCTGTAGTGGCTGCTAACTCCACTCTCCATGTCTGCACTTGCCCTCCTCTGATCATTTTAATAGAGCAAGCAAGAGCTATTTTAAAAAATAAACATTGAATTATCCCACTCTAACTAAAATCTGATGGTTTGGAAGAAAATGAACTTGGAATAAAATCTCAAAAGCTTCCTCCTGGCCTATGAGACTACCTCCCTGATCTGCCCACTGCAGACCTCAGCCTGACAGCCACATCAAATCACTTATGTCTCTTGAACACCCTAAGCTTTTTCCTGCCCCAGGGCCTTTGCTCATGCTGTTTCCTCTACTTGGAATACTCTCCCAAGGTTCTTAATTGTGTTGACTCAGCATCTTGAAGTTCTCAGCTTAAATTATGTTGTTGATGTTGTTAAGTGCTGTCAAATTGGTTCCAACTCATAGCACCTTTGTCCAGGGTTTCCAATGAGTGGCTGGTGGGTTTGAGCTGCCAACCTTGTAGTTAGCAGTCTAGTGCTTATCCTGTAATGCCACACCAATACTCTTTAAATAAGTATTCCTTTCTCAATTGCCTTCCTTAACCATCTAGTCTTGGTAGAGGTCTCCACCCCACCTGAATTTATCATTAGCACCTGGTTTACATTCTTCATTTTATATATATGCCCAACCTTAACGGTTTGGTTAGTCTGTGTACTTGACTTTCTCCAGCTTCTTGAAGATTGAACACTCTACTGAGGGATCCATTGCTGTTTCTGGATCATCTAGCATGTTACTGATGCTCAGAAAATCTTGAGCCAGGTGGGAAGGTTGGGGAGGGCTGGGCCGAAAGAGGTGGGTATTGCAGCCAGCACAGGAACCCTAAAGTGACCATGACGATTTTTATTTTATGTCCACAAAAGCAGTTGCAAGAATCTGAGGGGACCAGTGGGATGTGAAAAAGGGAAGTGGAGAAGGGTGACTTGAGGGCAGTGGGAAATGTGGATGGAGACAGTGTGGGTAACAGCCGGGGTTAAATGACTCCCTTTGTTCTCTTTGGAAGAAATCTAGACTGGTTCAATGAAAGGTTAATGAGTGTGTGTGTATGTGTGTGATGGGGGTTGTTGGTGGAAGATTCCTAACTTAGGTGATGGGGGTGGCCCAGGCAGCCAGTCTAGGGAGGATTTATTTTAGTCTACTTCCTTGGGTGATTGCTGGGTGCCCAGCCCTGGAGCTTGGGGAGTTGAAGAGAAGGGGGAAATATGAGCTGGGGGTCTTACTGCAGACCCAGACACTTCCTACCATAGCTTTCCCCATTTCTACAGAGCAGGCAGCCAAGGAAGGGAGGGGAGCGGGCCCTGGGCATGGGGACCAGGTGATACTATGTCCTCAGGTGACACTATGAAGAGAGTGCTGGAAGAAAGGGCTGGCATGCTGAAGCAAGCCTTTGGACACAGATGGGTGGGAGCCAGCCCTGATGGAGGAAATCAGGCAGAGAGCAAGAGACAGCAGGGTCATGTTTACTCACTGTGTATGAGTCTTATCTTAAGAACTTAGCAAATACTGACTCCTTTAATCCTTTTAACAGCTCTAGCAGATAGATCTTATTCCCATTTTACAGATGGAAAGATTGAGGCACTCTAGAAAGCAAGAAATTGCTCAGTGTCAGACTGGGCAGAGTCAGGCTTTGAGGCCAGGCAGCCTGACTCCAGAATCCACTCTAATCACTTCTCTCAGGCTTCTTAGATACACCCCAGCTGAGGACTTCTTAACAAACAAGTGGGTTTTCCTGCCTCTTGGAGACGTCTGACTTTCGGACTGAGGAGGTAAAAAAGAAGCCCTATCCTACAGTGGAGGGACCCCTGTTTGGAGTGGGGACCTGGTTTTTCTCTATCATGTTCTATTTTCTCTCAGGAGGGGGCTCCAGGTCTGGGATAAGTTGTTGGGCATCACCCACATGTGAGGAGGTCTCCTGCTTCTAGGATAAAACCAGCTTTCTGTTTGAGATGCCATCATTAGAACTGTACCCCTCTGGGGTTATGGGGCCCTCTTCATTTGGTTCTTAAGATCCCAACCACCCTGGGAGAGGAGAGGGAGATCAGATAGGGACCATGGGCTTTTTGGGATTCCATCTAGAGTGTTGTGAAGTGTTGCTTCGAGATGGGCTTTGGGAAACCTGGCTGCCCAGAGGGTCTGTGACTTAGGTAGGGGTCTGACTAGGGCTAGGGCCAAGGTGGGAGCAGAGCTGGGGAGGGTGCTGAATAGATAAATAGTAATTGAAAACAGTTTAGTCCTCATCTCTTTTTGTCTGTCTGTAGAATGGGACTAGGGAGACCTTTTCCTTGGCTCCATGGACTCTGTGGAGACTGGGAAACTCCTTGAGGTTACATGCTTGAATGCCTTATCCTTGCTGAGCCAGGGAAAAGGAGCAAGGATTCCTTCCCTGTGGATGCCAGCCCTAGGAGCCGGGCCAGGACTGGAGGAGGGCGTGGTGGCCCTGCCTTGCAAAATCTTCCTGTAGGGCAGGAGAACACCTCTGTGCAGATGACATGGGCTCTCAGGGGCCTGACCAGCTGGCTCAGGGAGGGTTTGCTGACCACACAGTGATGGGTCTGTTTGTTCCAAATTCTGAGCCCCAGGGTTTAGGGGACTAGGTTCATCTATTCCGGAAAATCCTTCCAGCCCTTAGAAAGAGAGGGAAGCAGGGGTGGTGGGCATTCTCTTCTGCATTTTGGAAAACTGAGGCATAGAGAAAGCACACTGCTGCTGGAAATTCACCAGGCCCCAGGGTTCTCAAGGAGAGGCTCCCTTCCCTGCCTGACAGCTGGAGGAGGCTTAACTCCTTATCTGCTGAATGGAGGTGGAAAGCTGTGCCTGAGCTTGAGGTGGGCAGACTGGAGCTAAGGGTGGACTTCCTGACAAGCAGACACTGGAACTGGTTATCTGCAGTTGGCATTTGGCATTTCCTATGTCCCAGCCTGGTGCTAGGAACCCCTGGGAAGCCAGGATACAGCCCCTTTTTCTGGGAAATAGAGTGAGCCACAGTAGGTGTGCTGTGACATGGTGTAGTTCAGACCAGCTTCCTGGAGGAAGTGGTCCTTTGGGAGGGTCTGGGATGGCT